ATCCCCTGCAGTGGCCCCAGAGGGCACGTGGCTGGGTCATGGCTGTGCCAAACAGACTGGCAGGTTCTTACCCACAACGTACATAAAACCAGTAAGAAATGCTCTTTGCCTTTTGCTAAATTACCATCCCTTTTTGGTATTTTTCAACCATTCCCGCTGTCACCGCAGTACTTTTTATCCTTTGAACTGAATGGCTGTCCTTCTCTTCTTCGGCGACACTAATAACGTAGTATTATTACCTAGTAGCCAAAACTCATCCCTGGCTATTAAATTTCCAACTAAGCTTTGATCTCTTTTTATGCAAAATCAGAAGTGGCTCGCTGAGCCAGAAGATAGTGTTTTTAAATAATTATGTGTTAACTCCTACTTTGTTTCTGATTTCACATGTGGTCTAAAATGATGATCCATATTTTTGATACACTTTTTAATTCAATCAAATTACTGCAGGACATAATTATATTTTTGTAACTGAAAGGACAATATATTGGTATTTTAAAATAATATATTTTAGACTAAACAAGCAATGCTTGTATCACTGACTACTCCACAAGAAACTAAAAGATGAAAATATTGTAGTAGGTAACTGGTATCCTTATTTTTTTATACTGTAAGCTTCGTTGAAGAAGTGGGTCTGTCGTTCAAATCTATACCTATATAAGTATTATTACTTTATACTGGGGTAATTTGTCTTTTGTTGTACATAGAACTACTAATATAAACTATGTATTTATGTCAGAATTATCTCTACAACGCCTGTTTTGGAAGGATATAAGCGTATGCTGACATATGCAATACTGGAAGGAAATGGCTGCCATATAATTGGAATCTTGTAGAAACTGGTATTCTAAGGAGAAATTATGTTTTTCTGTAAACAGCTTTATTCTGTATGTAGGGGATTCTGTAGAGTAAGACAATAAAAGCAGCTGGGTATCAGTGAGGAATTTCTGCTGCTGTACATTTCTGCAAAATATGTTAATCCAAAAATTGGGACTACCAGCCTACATAAAGAATAATAAAATAAACATTTACAGGGAAAGTAAGTGGTCATGCAGTTTTTCTTTACTCGAAGTGGGTGTCTTAGGACATTTTTATTTGTGAATATTTTCTACCTGTTCAACAGAAGTTGGATTAAGTTCTCACCTTGTTGGCATTTTTTTTTTTAATTTGCTGTGCTATGTATGTGCAGAAAATCTGGTGGCTTGACTTAATGTAAGCAAGTAAAGACTGCTTTTTGTCATAAATCAGTTGTGGAAGACTGCAGCCTACTGGGGATCCATAAACGAATATTTACACTGAATAGTGGTATTCTGCAAAACAGTAAATTGCATGTAAACACAGGGACAAAAACCCTTTGAGTAGCAGTCAGCTCCGTTCAGTTTAGGAAAGCCAGATTTTGACAACTTCACTGCTCCAAGCTTTTCCTTTGGCAAAAGTCTATTCTCTAAATGTTCATCTTTTATAGGTTTTTCATATTTAAAATCCTTTGTTTGAAATAAATTCTGCATTCAAATGAAAACATGTATTAGTACGTGTTTATTTTTCACTTATTGTGAACGCCGTAGATAGTTTATATTAAAAAAAAATTAAATCCAGCATCTTAATATTGTCACCAGGGTGGTGACGGCAAGCAGTGCCATAGATTTAAAATGGGAGAGCCAGCTCCGGGCCCCCACGCAGCTGGAGGCAGCAGCCACGCCGTGCGGCTCAGGTCTCCCTCCCTGGCAGCTGACAAGTCCCTAGCACACAAGGAGTCCTCCATGGGGTAGTCTCTTTATAGTAGGCACGTTAACCCCTTAGCGAGCCATGTGCCTACAACTTACCTTGAGGAGCTGATACTCCAGGTAGGGGCCAGGGGTAGTGTTTGATGAGTAATTTTACAAGGCGATGAGCTTCATGGGAAAATTACTCCAGCTGGGTGGACTTAGGCCTGAGTGGAGCCTGGCTGCCACGTGCAGGGTGATGGGGTGTGAGACTCACCACTGCCTTTCAACCTTAATTACTACAGCCAGCGTATGCGGTACCCGAGCTCAGTGACGCAGTCCCTCAGCCCCATTTCAGAAGGAAACATGGGTTATGGGCTGAGGTGTGTTTCTGTCTCGATCTCTGTTCACCCATTAGGTCATGCGTGTCCCCGGGTGACTTTTGACCTTTCTAGCATTTCACTGGCATTTGAAAGAAGGGACAGAAATCTCAAGATTTCTGAGCCCCTCTTCTTTCAACTTCTGCCTGTTTTCTCACCCCCTTCCACTCTGTGCCATCTTGATGATCTCCCCATGGGCATGGGGGCTTCTCTACCGTCCATCCCCTCCCTGAAGCCATCTCTGCTCCAGACTGAACAAGCCCAGCCCCCAGCTTCTCACAGCGCCAGTGCTCCAGCCCCACCACCTCGGGGCCTCCCCTGAATTTGATCCAGTTTATTGATGTCTTGGGGAGCCCAGAGCTGGGTGCAGTATCTACATGTGGCCTAACAAGTACTGAGTGGAGGGGGATAATGACTGCCCTTGATGTCTGGCTCTGCCCCTGTTCATACAGCCCAGGCTGCCGTTGGCGGT